TTAGTAAGTGCATTCGAGTTCTTGAAGGTCTTTCTTAAATGGGAATCACTTGTTGTGGCCTAAGGAAGGCTCCTTGCCCGGTCAGAGGCGTGCTGTGAATAAGCTAAGTTAGGAGCTGGGGTAACGCAGCCACACTGGTGAAGTTCAGAAAATACTGTCACCAGCAAGAGGGAACTTCAGGCAAGGAGGCAGCCAGCCTTGGTGATAGAGAGCTGGCCTCCTTCCAGGGAGGAAGCCCTGGCTGCAAATCCTGGCTGAATGACCCTGAACAAGTCAGTTCACCTCTAGGTGACTTGCTAAAATTATGAATATATCCATAAAAAAATGGATTACAGAGAAAGCACCAGACCTGCATTGCTAGATGGAGTTTCCCGGTCTGGGAGTTCCCTGTACTTTATTTAATTCTAGTGTCTTCTCTTGCCCACTTATTTCCCCTGTCCTGTATATAGCTTGTTTGCACATATTTGTGGGTGTGTCATTTCCCCCCACCAGACTATAAGCTCCTTGAGGGCAGGGACTATCTTTAGCCTTTTTTTGTATTCCCAGGCTTGGGACAGTGCCTGGCACACAGTAGGTGCTTAATAAATGCTTGTTGACTAACTCTAGCAAAAGAAGCATGCCTCCCTCTCAGGCTTCTGGAATCTTAATTACTCAGTGCAGAGCTCTGAAGCCTGGCCATGTTGTTTTCCTTTCCGTGGTTGTGGTTGTAGCAGAAGTTGCTTTCCTGGTTCAGCCCATACCACACTGCCTAAATTTTCCCCGGTAATAAGTAAGCTTGCCTGCTAGGGTTCACTCAGATCTTCCCTTTGAATTCATAGTTGTCATTTTTTATGGAAGTACCATATTCTAAAAAATGAACGGGCCACATTCAGCCCTCTTCTAGCCAATGGAGGCCTACGTTCCCTCCAGTTCTTAACTTCTGTCCTTTTGGGACTTTCCTCTCTGTCCTTGAACTCTCTGGGGGTGGATATATGCCTAACAGTGGTATTCCTGAGTCAAAAGCTATACATGGTTTAGTGACTTTTTAGTATAATTTCCAATTGTTCTTCAGAACAGTTGGGTTAATGTGCAGTTCCACCAAGAGTGTGTTAGTGTGCCTGCCTGTTTTCCCATAGCTCCTTTCTTGTCTTTTTTAATTTGGTAAGTGTGAGGTGTAACATCAGAATTTCAATTTGTATTCTTGTATTAGTGTTCTGGAATGTTTTTTTCAGGTGGTTTGTTGATAAGCTTGCATTTCTTATAAAATCTACCTGAATATCATTTAACCATTATTGGCTTTTGTTATGCATTTGTATAAACATGCAGATCAATCTTTAATCAGCAGTATTGGCTATTAGGATATCCTCCCCCCCCCATAATGGGTTGGTTTTTTTTTTCCGTACCATTACCTGCATTGGTTTTGTCATGTAAAAACTGTTTTATGTTATGTAATCAAAATCATTCATTTTTGTCATCCGTGATCCCTCTATTCCTGTTTAATTAAGATGTTTTCTCACTGTAGTTGTACAAAGCACCTCTTTCCCTTTTCCTCTAAATTTTTGGAGCCTTCTGTATTTAATTCATATATTCGCTTGGAGTTTATCTTGTGATATGGTGTAAAGTGTTGGGCTCCCTCTAATTTCTGCCACACTGCTTTCCAGTTTTCCCAGAAATTCTCTTCAAAGGAGTTTCTAACCCAGTAGTTGGTGTCTTTGGGTTTATCAAACAGTAACCTGCTCTGTTGGCTTGCTTATGGGGTCTGTATAGACACATTTTATACCAACTTGCTTTCGCAGGGGATGTACTCTTTGAAAAGTGACGAAATCGTGTGCGTCAGCAGTGTGACTTAGAAATAATTGCCTGAAATTTCTTGTGCTTCAAGCCCATAAATCAGCTAATGTTTCTCTGTCATCAGCAAGTAGATTATGCCATTTATTCTCAGCTCTATTTAATTGTTTTTGCTATGAGGACTGTATGAGAAAACCCTCTGTTTTCCCCCTGGTTCTGTTGATGGCCGCCTGCTGTACCTAGTTAACACTTCAAGTTTAGAACTCAGGGTTATCTTTTAAGATGAAAGGTGGAAGTCAGGTTTAAACTGTGTGGGCTGGTGATTACAGTTTCTTCCAGTTTGCCATTCTGTTGTTACCTTCCCTTTCCATTTCTTCTTCCTTCTTCACGGACAAAAAATGTTGCAAGATAGACTCTGTGGAGCCCCACTGACGCCATCTTTGTCATGGATTCTTCGGTAATGACTTAGAGAGGCGGCTGGGAGGACTGGATCACAGCCCTAGGGGCAGCCCTTGGTCCCTCATCTCTCATTTTTAATAAAGAGCAGACAGGAGGGATTAACCAGAGGGTTCAAGGAGAGTGGGGTAGGACACATTACTGCACTGTCGCTACTCGCGACGTGCTGCCATCAGCATGATCTAGTGTTGTGGCTCTGGGCACCGTGGTCACTCATGGTATTGCTTGTGACTCTCGGTCTTGAAGAAGAGAGTCATTTATGAATCACAGATTGTTAAATAAGTGGGCTCTTGTCTTTTTTTGAATTAACGAGTTGGCATCTATTCAGTAAGGAAAATTTAGATTATATAGCACCTCATGAGCATTCTTGATCTTTCTGAATTAAATGGGTTATATTGTTATGATTTCAAGTTACATTTCTGTCATCTAATTTCCATATTAACACTAGTAAAAGAGGCATTGCATTAAGTTTGGTAAGAAAGTTGAATAAATGAAAAAGTGTTGTATATACTGTGGTGACTTTGAAATTACCCTCTTTTGTGCTCTCCTTTGCTGGAAGGCGCTTAGCATGGCTCTGGGTTTTAGTCAGGATTTAGAAACAGCTGGAAAACAGGCGGGGTGAGAGGTTTCAGTTTGACAGCTCAGTTTACCTGGGAGAAGAACCAGTATAACGAGGAACAGATGTGTTAAGGCAGTCACCAGCCAGAATCAGGATCCGATGCTGTTGACACCTTGCTTGAGCCTGCTGCCGCTGGGACTTGAGACTGTGGGGACATGTGGTGGAGCATTAGAAAGGGAAGGAAGAGAAAGGAATTTCTGAGAGCTGCCGTAGGAAATGGCTCTCTAGTTTTCTTTGCACAATGAAAAGTGGAGAAGATTGGCTTCTCCAGAGAGCAGAAAGAACCCTGAACTGGCCCTGAAGACCTGCGTTCTGGTCGTAACGTTGACACTGACCGTCTACCCTAGCGAGTGTGACTTCCCTTTCCTGGGTCTCAGCGTCCTCATCCACGACACAAGGTGTCTCAAAGGTCTCTGCCAGCCAGGGATTTCACAGCCAGCTCCCAGGAAAAATGGCTTCTCAGCCCCTGCCAGTTCGACTTCCAGACTCCCCACTCAACTGAAGCTGCTCTCTCCAGGCTTACCAGCAGTTTATTAATTGTCAGATCCATGAGCCTTTTCTCAGCCTTCGACTTCTTGACTTTTTAGAGCATTTGACCTGCTGATATCCTCTCCTCCCTGGGCTTGGAGCTCTATGTCCACTTCTTGACCTTGCCACTGAAGGAGTTCTCTCTGTGGTCACAACGATCTCTTTATTTTTAAGTCCAGTGGCCTTTCTCAGGCCTCATCCTTTTTCATCTTTTCATAGCATTTGACACCACTGACCACCCATCCCTTCCTCTTGGACATGTTTTCCTTATGACAACTGATCTTTGCAGTTCTCTCCATGTGCATATTCTCTCTCTCCCCCTCCCTCCCTCTCCCTCTCCCTCCATTTCTCTCCCTCCCCCCCTTTCTCTCTTCCTCCCCCTACTTCCTCTTTCCCTCCTTGTCTGTCTGTCTCCTTCTCTCTTCCCATCTGTCTCCCCCCCCCTCCAGTGGATTTAGCTCTATGTAGATTACCCAAAAAGCTATAGATGCAGCCTTCTACATCTCTGTCTCAGCCCGGGTTTCCTGTAAGCATTTCAGATTCAATACACTAAAAAGGAAGTCATTATCTTTCTCCCTCCTCTTACCTCCCTGCATTGGTGAGGACAGCGCCAGCCTTCCAGCTGCCCTGATTTGCAGTCTTAGCACGATCCCCAACTCTTCCCTTCACTCAGCACCTCTTCCTACCATGTACGTCTCAGTTCTTGTCAGTCCTACCTCCTCGGTATCTCTGGCAACTTGGAACTTAATTGGCCTAGACTATCAGAATTACTTCTTGGTTGGTTTCCTTTTTGTCCGGTCTCTCCCCTCCAATCCGCCTTTCACATTATGAAATGCACAAAGTGTAGGTGTCCCTTTTCCGATCTTATCCCCTTGCAACCTAGCTTCTAATAATAACTAATCATCATAATAGATGGTGATAGGTTCCATGTAGATGCTGTCCTAGGATTGTAGAGTACTTGGCCTCCTTTGACACAAGTAGAGAGGACGTGGGACTTAGGAGGTGGCAAATTGTTTGTAGCCTGCCTGCTAGTTAACAGAACAAGCCACATAATAGAGGAATAGAATAATGTTGGGCTTGGAGTCAGAAAGATGTGGGTGCAGATCTTGTTTCAGATATGAGCTGGGTGATCATAGGTAAGGCCCTTCACCTTTTCCAGCCTTGGTTTCCTTATCCATAAAATGGGGATAATACCCCTAGTACTTATCTTCCAAGGGTTGTGGGGAAGACCAGATGAAGGCATGCATGTCAAGGGCTTCCAGAACCCTGAAGTCCTATGTAATTGTCAGTCTATTAACAGATAATTTAGCTGAGTAATGGTAGCTGTGAGGATTTGTACCTCAGATGTCATTATAACAAGTAATTAAGTAAAGTAGGTACCACTTATTAACCATAAAGGCCTTTGGCATCCCTTCACAAGCCTGGGGTGGCCCAGCTTTTAGGGCTACATTCCCAGGCATGAGATTATAGGGGGATTCAAGAAGCGCCAGGAGCGCCCCAAGTAGCAGAGATGACCATCCTGTTACTGTTAATGCGGATGAGTGCCATTCTCCGGTGTCTGTTTAGCATAATGGTCTTATTTGTATTTACCTCCCCAGTTATTTTTTTTTCCATATTTTGTTTCCGTTAGGAGAGAAAATTGAAATTATTCTCTAAGCTATTTGAAGAGAGTGACTAAATGCCACTGGGTCGGGCTGTCTGTGGGTATGAAGTGGTTGGGAGACTCCAAGAACATGGTGGTGAATGGCAGGAGAAATGGAGGCAAGTTGTCTAATGAACACCAGCCGAGTCAATCCAAATTTCAGCACACGGGAAAGGACGCCCTGAAGGCTGGCCGAAATGCAGTTGAGAGGAGGTCGAGCAGATGTAGGTACACACTTAACCTCTGGGGTGTTTTCATTGTTGTGGGGGTCACTTATGTTCTTTCTCTAGTAATACATTTTATTTTGTTGTTGTCTTTGACAATTTTCATCCTGAGCATATTAAAAGAATCATTTGTTCTTACTTTACAACTGATGAGCGAGTAACAATGATACCCCCTGGACGCCTGATGCAGAAATCCGACTTGCGTGGTTGGGTCTGCAGCTTGAAGCTGCCCCCTCCTGTTCTCAAGACTTTATACCTAAAGGCTGGGTTTCTTCTGTGAAAGCGAGAGAGCGCAGTTACTTAGCCACCTCGGGTAAATGGGAACATCTGGTTTTGATAACCTGCCCATGGAGAGTTCTAAAAATAGTGATGAAGAGCAGAATCAGTTCTCCATCTTGGTGTTTATTGGATGCAGTAGGGCTGGGGCCCAGATGATTAGCTGAGGGTGGGAGCTGGGCAGTAGTAGAAGCAATTTTACCTGTGCCACCCAGGCAGAATAACAGGTCCCCTTGGGATGTCTTAAATACTGAATAATGAAACAATTATTTAATTTTCTATTTGTTTTCTTAGTTGGAAGAGAACCATTTTTTCCCCCAATTTTTAACACTTTTAAAGTTTTGAGTTCCAAGTTCTATCCTTCCCTTTTCCCACCCCACCCACGATTTTTATTTCAAGAAATTGTGGGCTTAGTCTTCCTATTGGTGGCCGTTTCAAGGGTGAGGGGCAGAAGGGCGGAGCACCTAAAGCTGGCCTTGGAGCCAGGAAGACCAGATCTCCCATCTGGGCTGGGTGACCCTGGGCAGGTCACTTCCTTTCTCAGGACTCTCTCCAAGACTCAGCTGCATGGCAGGTGCTAGCCTGCCCCGCCCTCCTGGAGAGCGTCTCTGCCAGCGCTGCTTCAGAGACCTGTACTGACTCAGGATAAATACAGAGCTGTTCCAAGGGTCCAGGACGGTCGTCAGGCTTCCTTGTCTCCAAGGCTGTTGATGGCCAAACTTCTTAGTTACGTCTGGGTTGAGATCGGGTGCCTTCGGGCCAAGCCCCAGCCTTTCCCGTTCTAAGCAGACTCAGTCCAGCCCTGTGGGTGTGTGGCCCAAGCCAGGCTGGGTGACCACTCCGTGTTCCGTAGAATTCCCCAAACCTTCCTGAGATCAGAGTGTGGAGGACCAAGGGTTGGCCTGGTCTGCCCTGGACCCTGGAGATCCGAACTAGCCTAAGGCTTGTTGGGGCCTCCTCCCTCCCCTGAAACAAAACATCCATCCCATACCTCAGATTTAAGACTTGTCAGAATTGTTCCCGGTTCCCTAGCTCAGGGACAGGTCCCCATAGAATCTAAAAAGAGCAGGGCCGTCGGAGGTGGGAGAAGGAACAAGGTGGAAAGAGCCCTGGACCACAGAGGCGGGGGCAGAGCCGCTGTTCTTGTGACAGGGCGCGCTGGCCTGTGAGGAATGTGTAGACGGACAGCGCTGTGTCTCCGCCTGCTTCTCCCAGTCCTAAAGACCTAGTTGCAGCCAGCCACCCCACCCGGGGCGTGGCCTTCGGTCTGCCTCTCTTGCTGCTGTTCTTTGCTGTGTTCACACCTGTTCTTCCAAACCAGCATTCGTTTCATTTTCTCATTTCCCTCCAGACCCTGAACTTCTTGGGGATGAGCCATCGACCAGTCTGGCCCAGTTCCTTCCTCATACTCCTTACTAACTTGGGGAGGGGGCTGTAGGCGGGGCACTCCATTGATTACTCACTCAAGCACCCAGCAGGGAGCAAGGGCAGCCTTTCTCCCGAGGCCCCTCTTGGAGCCAAGATCCAGACTCTCTGTCTCTCATTGCTGAAAGCTCTTTGGGCCCCGTAAACACCTGCTAACCTCTATTTCTTTTCCCCCATGACCTCCTTCACTAACTGTATTAAAGCCGTGGGATTGTCTTCCCAGGTTCCCACCTGTGCAGTGAGGGAGATGAAAGCAGTTGAGCAGAAGTCTCCAGGACTACCCAGCTAGGCCCAGGGGTTGGGGAGAGACGTGTTCCCTCAGGCCCTGGCAAACCAGGATGCCAGTGCCCAGGGAATGGAGGGAGCTGGGCCCCAGATAACCAGGAGGGCTGTCTGTCTGATTGACTGTTCACTCATTGATTGGGACAAGGAACTGCCGATCTGATTAATTGGAGAACTCAGGAGATGACCACAGCAGCCCGCAGTGAGTGACTCATGTGCTTCTTGCTTTTTTCAGGTAGCGGGGCTTCGGGGTTTGAAGGACAGAGTCGCTATGTACCTTCTTCTGGGATGTCTGCCAAGGAGCTGTGTGAAAATGACGACCTAGCCACCAGTCTGGTGCTTGACCCCTACCTAGGCTTTCAGACTCACAAAATGAACACTAGGTAATTTTCTTGTCTTTATCCTGAAGGGGAGCAAGAAACTGTTGCATTTCAGAAAACCAAAAGGCACACTTGGAGCTTGGGGGAAGGAAAGTTGGGAGCTCAGAACTGGCTGGGTGCCAGGGTCACGCCTTCCCCCACCTCCAGCCCCGTCAGCCCCAGGGAAGGTCAGCGTGCTGGCCCTCGTGTGGCCTGGGAGCCTGGGTCCCTCCCTAGGGAAGCCCGACAGAGACTGAGGGGAAAGCGAGTTGGCTTGCTTGACTTGCTGCTCGTCTGGCCTTTAAAAAAGGATCCCCCTCAGGAGGTCGCTGGGCGCGCTGGAGAGCTCTTCCAAAAGATCAGATGAGCTGGCAGTGGCTAGCCGATCTGGGCCGGTAGTTGATCCGCCTGACCTGCAGCTCACCCATGCGCTGGTGCTGGTGGGGTGGGGCGTTCCGTGTCTGTTTGGGTTCTTAGAAAGAATCTCTGTGTCAGCCGAGCGCTTCTAAAGGTTGCGCACGTGGAAGGAGGCCCAGCAGATGGAGGGGGAGCGGCAAGCGTGCCGAGTGTGAGCTGAGCGTGACGCGTTTGGTAACGACGCTCTTGACGGGCAGGGCAGCCACAATAGGGAAAGATAATGAATTTGATGTTAGATCTGTTGAGTTGGGGGGGCGGATTTATCCATGTCCAGCAGGTGATGGGGAATGAGAGATCAGGGCTGGGAAGATGGTAACCTGCTAAGAAATGATTGTGGAAGTCAGGAAAACAGGTGAGCTAATAACTGGCCTCCAGGGCTCCACAGTTTCTAAAGGCCGTTACAGCCGGCCTGGAGAGACCTGCACAGGTAGCCCCAGAGCCAGCAAGTGTGAGAGCCGGAGGCCGCGAGCCCAGGCTCGGCCCTCCTGTCTGGTGGAACAGCAGAATGAGATCTCTAGGGCAGAGCCGTGGGATGAGTCGTTCCCAGGGAGCGTGGAAGGAGGCTGGCAGAAAACCAGGATAGTACGGTATCTGGAGAGTTTTTCTAGAAGGGAGATGTAAGCAGCAGTGGCCAGCTGTGTAGGGGAAGGCGATCACAGGTGCTGGAGAGCTGTGAGTGCCACAGGCCAGCAGGTGTGGAAAAGCCGTTTGAGGAGTTTGTCAGTGAGAGGAAGGGAGGCAACATGGTGGTCGTCTGGGGGCCGTGAAGGGCCAGGTGTGGAGGCAGAGGGAAATGGACAACCTCGGTGTGTCCTGTAGAGCCTGTTGGGATGGTTAGAGAAGTCTGCTTTGCATTGTAGTTCTGTGGGTACTCCCTGGACCCCAGCCCCATTGGTGACAGATACCAGCTTCAAGACATCATGGCCTCCTGCTGACTCCAGGTGCTGAAGTGAGGAAGGGAGTGCTCCCAGATACCCTAAAGAAGAAGTCAGAAGAGCCTGGCTGAGTAAGAGGAGAAAGGAGAGCGTGGTCCCATGTTGTCTCTGATAATCCAGAGGAGGAGAAGAGGGTCAGCATGTGTACGTGTTCGAGCGCGTGTCCCCCACCTGGCGGGGTGCACGGGGCGGTGGAGCTTCCGGCTGCCCTGGCTTGTGTTCAGTTAGGGTTTGGTGCCGGGCACTGGGCACCCTCACTTCCATCAGCAGTGACAGCCTGTGTCCTTCGCGTCCTGAGGGTCACCAGAGTAGCCCGCGCAGTCTTCAAAGTGCAAAGGATATAGCCAGTTAACAATAAATCACAGATAACTTTCCTTTTTTGAGACCTTCCGTGTTTGAAATTGGGCAGCCAGATGGTGCCATAGTGCACAGAGCACAAGGCCTAGAGGCGGGAAGATTCGTCTTCCTCGGTTCAGATTCAGCCCCAGACGCTCACTAGCTATACGAGTCTGGGCATGTCACTTCACTCTGTTTGCCTCAGTTTCCTCATCTGTCAAATGAGCTGGAGAAGGAAATGGCAAACCGCTCCAGGACCTTTGCCAAGAAAACCCCCAGTGGGGTGACAAAGAGTTGGACAGAACCGAAACACCAAAGCAACCACAAATGTCTGATCACCAAACGGAGCAGCTCATCTTCTGCAGTATTTCGTTGTCCTCTGCCCCACTTTGACAGAAGATCCTTTCCGTTTCTGAAGAGGATGTTCCTGAAAAGCCCTGACACCTCGTGACATTGGTTAGGCCAGGGGGAAGGAGGCATTCCTGCAGCAAACGGCGTTGGCTCAGTGAGCTGGGTGGCCTTTGCGTACCTGGGGGTGGAGAGCAGACACGACCCTGCCCGTGCAGGAGAGGAGGAGCACCTGCCTTCCCCCAGCTTCTGTGTTCCCTGGCCAAGCTCTCGGGGCATGCGTAGTTCTCTTTGTGGCAGAGGCCTGCCTCATGGACTTTTTCATCTTCAGGGCTTCTGGAGTTGCCTCATGATCCCAAACCGTTTGGCTGAATCAGCAGATTTAAAGCTTAAAGGAAACTGGAGTGACTAGTGTTTGCCAGCACTGGTGTCATTTTACCGACGGCTCTCAGATCCAGAGGTGTCCGCCAGGCCTTGACCTTGGGCCCAGTGGCTTTTTCTGCCCTCAGCATCCTGGGAGGAGGACACATGTGGTTAGCAAAGTCTGAAGAACATCTTTGAGACTGAATAGAGATGATGGGTTGAGAGCCGTCAGGGACCCCAGAAGTCACTGGGGCCCACGCCCGCATCTACACACGAGGAGAAGTGGAGCAGTGAGGGGGCTCCCGCGCTCGAGGGCGTGAGGAGCAGCTCGTTCCTCTCTGTCACCACTGCACCCCCCGTCAGGAATGCCGTAACGCGAGGCATTGAGAAGCTGCTTTGGCTTTTAGCAGGGTACATCAACACCCTCCTCTAGTCATAGTCCATTCCAAGTCTGGCAGGAGGCAGTTGGGAGAGGAGGAGAGAGAGAGAAACGTCCCTGAGGGCCACAGGCCCCCATCCAGGGTGGCGCGCGTCGCAGTCACCCGCAGAAACCGGTGTCGAGGGCTGGGCTCGGGAGCGCGCCTGGTTGGGCACTGAGGGGAGATGACTCGGGCTACAATCAATGGCCAGCCACCTGGATCCGAGTGGATTCCAAGAACCTAGAGCTCTCGAGGAGGGCCAGGGCAGCATGGTGTGTGATGGAAAAGGCCCTGACCTTGGAGGCAGGGTCTAAACTGGGGTCATCCTCCCTCGAACACTTGTTTTTTGACCCTGGGCAAGTCACTGGTAACCACTTGTCATCTGTAAAGTGGGGGAGCTTGGACTGGGAAACCAAGATCCCCTCCAGCTCTGAGTCAGTTGTCTCTGATGTTGGTATTATCTGAGATGACTTGTTTGGGCCCATAGGAGTAAGGGACTAACTCGGACCCTGCTTAGCAAGGGCAGGGCTGGAGTCAGCCAGAGCTTAATTCTGGGCTTCCAGTGAAGACATGGAGTCCTTACCTGTGGTCGACATTGATTGGAAGAGATGGCCAACCTTGTGTTCTGCTGGAGTTGTCCTGTGAGGCCCCCAGCAGGGCTGAGCTGGGGGTGGAGGAGGGAGCGTGAAGCCAGAGTGGCTTCTCTCGGCACCACTTTTGGGGTGGGCGGGGCCGTCCCTGTGCTTCCCTACTCCCTCGGATTTCTTCCCCTAGACTGTGTTTTAATGGCTGGGTAAGTCAGACTCTGGGGCAGCACTTCCATAGTCAGAAATCGGGCCGAGAAAGGGGGTTCAGAAGCCTGACAATGAAAGACTTGTTTCTGGCCCACTGCCTAGACCCTCTGCCAGCCTGGTCGTCTTAGGGCTCTCCCACCACTAATCTCAGTCTCTCACACCACTGTTTGTTTTTGCATCTCTGTAGCGCCTTTCCTTGGAGGAGCTCCAGGCATTTTACCAAATCTGACAGTTGCCCTCACACGCACCAGGTGAGGTAGGTAGAACATGGTACCCTTCCCTGAGATAATGGCGCACCCCACCCCTTCTTCTACTGCCCTTTTAAGATGCTCTGGATCCAGTAAGTCCTGCTCGATTGCACGCTGAAATGGGGCATTTCTAAGAGAGCCGGATGCGGGACGTCAGCAGATTGCATGCCTCAGCCAGGTACGTCCAGACGTGAAGAAATTGCTCTAGCTCGAGTCCTGCCCGGTGCCCAGTAAGCCCCTCTGTTAGCAGTCACAGGGGCTGCTTGGCGGCCTTCCTTCGGACAGCCTTCCTCTGAATGTTCTTCTGTGCTTTCTGAGCCCCCCCCATTGCCTTTGGCCGCTTCCAGTCACCTCTCGGTGTCTCGTGCCAGTACAGGGAGAGCTTTAGTCAGCAGCTTTGCCTTACCGCCTCTAGGCCCTCTTGATCAAATGGCAAGAGAGACGGGAAGGCTGTCTGGAGAGACCATAAGGGACAGATATGCAGGCGTGTGCGCGTGTGTATGTGCATGTGCCCGTGTTGATCACCGCCTTGTGTGTAGTTGCTGGTTATAGCAGACACATACCAGGTGTGGAAAGCTGAAGCAGTCTGCTTAGTTGTGAAGCAATAGCTTTCCCCTCCATTCAAAGGAGAGGAGGACTCAGTGGTCTTGGATTCTGCTTTGTCCCCTGTCCCCTCTCCTTGTCACCGGCACGTGAATATCTCGCTGTGCAGCGGTCTTCTTCCATCCTGCTTTCACTCTTTGGTTAATCCTGCTGTCCATCGGACAGCTTCGTCGGCTGTGAGAAGGGCTTCTGTTCCAGGGGCTGGCCTGTTTCATAGACTTAGTTAAGGCCTCAGCCTTTAGGCGTAGTTTGTAGGGATCTGATGAAGCCTCTTAGGGTCCAGGTCTGTCCTTTGTGTCAAAGCCTCGATCTGACTTTCATGTAGACGCGGGACGCCAGGTCCCTGGCGTCTGCAGGTGCCTGACTTGTTTTGGGTTGACATTCTTTTGACGGGACCAGCCTACTAAAGAACATTCTTGATCTGGACGGCGTTTTCTTTTTTCCTTTTTTTTTAATAATTAATTTATTTACTTTTAGTTTTCAACATTCACTTCCATGAGATTTTGAGTTTTGAATTTTCTCCCCTACCCTCTCTTCCCTCCTCCCCAAGACAGCATGCAATCTCCTATAGGCTCTACTTATACATTCATATTAAGCATCTATTCAGATTAGTCATTATATAAAGAAAAATTAGAACTAACGGGAGGAACCACAAGAAAGAAGAAACACCAAAAGGAGAGCAAATAGTCTGCTTCCATCTGCATTCAGACCATATCGCTTCTTTCTCTGGATGTGGAGAGCATTTTTCCTCATGAGTCCCTTGGAATTGTCTTAGATCCTTGCATTGCCAAGAAGAGCTAAGTCTCTCAAAGTCAGTCATTGAACAGTGTGGCTGTTACTGTGTATGGTATTCTGGTTCTGCTCACTTCACTCAGCATCAGTTCATGTAAGTCTTTCCAGGTTTTTCTGAAGTCTGCCTGCTCATCATTTCTTGTAGCAAAATAGTATTCCATCCTATTCATAGACCACAAATTGTTCAGCCGTTCCCCAATTAATTGGCATCCCCTCAATTTCCAGTTCTTTGCCACCACAAAAAGAGCTGCTATAAATATTTTTTGTACATGTGGGTCCTTTTCCTGTTGCTACAGACTTAGAAGGGATGTTGCTGGGTCAAAGGGTGTGCACAATTTTATAGCCCCTTGAGGATAGTTCCAAATTGCTCTCCAGAACAGTTGGATCAGTTCACAACTCTACCAACAGTGCATTAGTGTTCCAATTTTCCCACATCTTCTCCAACTGGAGAACATCTTCACGGCATGGCTTGATATGTGACCATGATGGTCATCTCTGGATTGGCCAGGCCAGGTTGGTCAGAAATGGAAATTAGTCTGACCGTGTGTTGTCTGGGTTTGGTGAGACAGACCCGTTAGGTTAGGTCACTGAATGAAACCATGAAGAGGCCTCCGCTACTCTGGAGATCCTCGCCGTAGGCACCTTGTTGTACCTCTGCTCTGGATCCCGTTATTCACTTTGTTCTGTGGCTTCTTAGCTCTTCCCGACTGGCTTCTTTCCTCACCTCCTGACGCTCTCTCAGGGTTGCATCTGGCTTGCTCAAAGAGCAAACCTTGGTCAGTGCTTTGGTTGTTTACCACCGTTGAGCCCTCAGCCACATGCAGGTGCTGTGTAGGGCACAGGAATATGTTGACAGCCATTGAAGGCCTAGGCCTAGGCCTAGGAGAGATGGCACCTGGCTAGTTGCCAGGAGAATAATACAGATAAAGTCGGGATGGCCCAAGAGTGGCGGTCACATCCCGTCTGCTCTTCTGGACGTTATGATTACCTTGTCTTTCTGGAAATAAAAACAATAGCTAACTCATATCACATTCTAAGTGTTGTGCAGCTCATGAAATCTGAAATAACTGGGGAGACAAAGGTTTAAGCTTCTGACCATATCAGTTTATTAAGTAATGCATGGCAATTGCATAACACATCAGGACGAGGCCTCTTCAGCTTGCCACTGGACCCCAAATACAGGGGAAGACAGGTTTTTATGCATTAGAAGAAAATTAACAGTATATAAACCAGGACACTAGGTTAGGTGATTGGAGGAAAGATTAGAGACTTTCTGAGTTGGGAGGGGGATGAATGAGTTTCAAGAGTTGGGCATGGGGAGAGCGAGCAGTTGAACTCTTGCAGATGTGAAACAGGATGTCGTAATTGACACACGAGTGTTTACAGGAAAAAGAAACTTAGGGTGCCAAAATGGAGTCTGCTTTACAGAGTGGAGTCAGTTTGGTTCACATAATTCCCACAGTTCTCTAAATTCCCCACTTTGATGCGTGGTGGAGGAGCCAGCCCACTCCCGCCACGAATTTATAAGGTTGTTCGACATGCTCACGCTCACTATCAACATTGTGGGTCAAGAAAAGACCATCTTCTTGCACAGCTTACATAGCGTAGTACAACAGCTGACAGAGTCTAAGAACAGTAGGGATAATATACACATCTTGTATGTAGACTCTGTAGGTAAACTAAGTCAGGCTACAGATCAGACTCCTTAAAGGGCTCACAATGGACTAATTTTGAGAGGGGAGATTTACACATACACACCATAAAACAAAAGGCCAGTGCGATACAGTGATGATCATCAACATTAAACAAATCAGATCTCCTGGTGTCTTAGTAGCCCACTCCCAGTGTCCATTTAATCATCATATTTTTGTCTCGAGTCCCAGATGTCCCGTGCATTGTCTGGCCCTCGGACATTCTGGAATAGGCCTCATTCTCAGGGTGCTGTGGAGGGGGTTTTGCTTCTCCAGTTCGCAGTCTCTTGCAGGAATTCCTAAGTAACTGGATGGCACAGTGAATAGAATGCTGGGCTTAGAGCCATCAAGACTTCAGACTGCCTCAGACACCTACTAGCTGTGTGACCCTGGGCAAGTCACTTCACCCTGCTTGCCTCAGTTTCCTCATCTGTAGAATGAGCTGGAGAAGAAAATGACAAACCCCTCCAGTATCTGCCAAGAAAACCCCCAGTGAAGTCAAGGAGAGTCAGCTGTGACTGAACAACCTGCTACATTTGGTTTTCCAGTGACTAATTCATGTAGTGAAAACAGTTCAAGCTTTATGAAGCTAATCCTGTTAGAGCTGTAAGAACATCAAGTTAAGAACCCATAACTCACCTAGGACTCTAGAGAATTTCAGTTTTTATAGATCACTTGCTATTTTTATCTTTACCTAAACCCTGTACTTGATATAAGAATCTTAAAAAAAAAAAAACGCATGAGGGTCTAACTTGTAAAATGAACCCTTCTGTTTTTAAAATTATCAGGTACTTTAAAATTTTACTTTGTGATGATCAGTGCAAATGTATGTGCAAAATTCTTAATCTGATTTTGAGAACTTGTTACTAAAACATACTCAGAACCTGAATTTTTCATTAGAAACATTTGGAAGCCAATCATACGCATACGTATATAATCTAGAAAACAGACTAATCCTGTTGCTTTCTCGAGATTTACTGTTCCATTCAATCAGAAAAGTTTTACATTACTAATTCCCCTCCTTAGGAAGATCTCATCCCTGTATTATCATTTGACCACAAACAGATTAAAATTGCAAGACTTTTCATACTTGCATCCTATTATAGTAACTCAGAAATGTTCTAGTATCCATCTATTAATTAATAGGTTTAGTATCATGCTTACAAAACTTCTACTGCTCACCTGCTCTGATTATAGAAATTTACTATGAATGGAAAAGGAGAAATGTAGTTATAACAAGGTCAAGAGTCATCCCCTCTAGGCAACAGACAAACTTGACATATAGCATTACAGGGGAAAAGCTCCCTTAGCTCTATTTGATTCCAGGCACGAGTCATATCCGATAGCCAGTCATTTAGTAAAGCTCCACATTATTCACAGGATATCAAAAGCCAGGCTCAGGATTAACCAGGTGGGGAAATTTCCTATTCAGAACGTAAATAGCACCATGGGGAAGCTGAGTCAAGAGGATCCTGTGTCGGACCACATCAAGGTCCCCTCATCCTTTCCCAGGTACAGACATTTACCTGTAGCAGTTCTTAGACTATAGCCTATGCCATTTTCTCCTTGACTGGTAGGGTATTGGCTTAATAATGCTTAAGCAACCAAACTTTGAAATCAGACTCAAAACAATATCATAGTCCCAAGAGTTTTTACCTCAAATAACAAAATTTTCACTAACCATGACTTAGGGCTTGAATATTATTAGTTTTCTCTTGTTTTCCTAACAGATGTCATTTATGTATTATTTATAAATTGAGACTGATTGCATTTGGGGCTTTCAGTCATATAGCAAATACCTGATCATTAATTCATATTAATTTTTTGAAGTTACATCTTTAAACCACCCTATACAGCTTCATAATTTTTATAAGTGGTAGCCAAAAATTGTCAAATGAAATTCACTCTTTATTATTAGTACA